GACCTCATCTATTTATAGTAATGAGTGACAAATAAGACATTTGTTTATATGGTGAGCTGGACATGGCAGACAGCAACAGGAAGAAGCTTGGAGTCTATCCTAATAACAGGATACTGACAATGAGGATCAGTTTCTTTTCAATATACCTCCTAATAGAATCAAAACATCTTTATCGGAGGTGATAACATTCAGTACAGTCAACACCCATGACAATGGGCGTCAGGAGAAATAGAGAGCGGGTGGACCAAGTGGGAAATGGAAGGTATATGTTAATGTGATTCTATGCATGATTGTGTGCTTATCTTTATATAGTTGTTTATCATTTCCATGTGAATCTGTATGTGAGAGCTAGTACAGCGGATTTATGGTCAGCAAGAGATGTGTTCCTGAGATGCACCCCCCTGACAAACACAAAGACCCTGACTCGTTTGATAAAGGTGTGTGAGGGGAGAAGTGAATTTGTGTGCAAAAGAGAAGTGATTTGTGTATGTGTGTGAGTGAGGGAGAGGAAGATGGATGGAAAGCATTTGACAGAGTCTGTTTGAACCGAGAGCTGCTGTGGAGGATTACGGACCCTCTGATCAGAACAAGGGAGGAAATAGAAAGAAGGAAAATGGGGGAGAGAGAGCGAGGACAGGCAGATGTCAACATGTCTCTCAGATCCACTGGATTTGTGTGACCAGTGTTTGGTCTCAATCCCTTGCTTTGAAATGCCACAATTCTGGGAGAGCTGTGGTTTTGATGAATTCTGTAAATACGGAGTAAGTTTGATGTGTGCATACACTTTGACCTTCACATGAATGAAAAGTTTCCAAAAGCATCACAGGAATGGGACATTATGATTTTGCTGTTAGTTTACAAAAAAAAATATATTATTTATTTATATGATGATGTGATGAGTATCATATTTTTGCATTCTGCATAAAATTCGACGTAGGACTGTTGCAACTGTGATATAAAAAAATAATAAAATATGTTAATACTACACATGATGACATCGTAAATAATCCAGTGCCAGTAGCTGCTTCATACTCCAACATAGTAGGTGGCGGTATTGCACCTTTGCGGGTTGCTACCCATCATGAACACTCGTAAAGACACAGTTTGCACCTGAAAAAAAGTTTGCTTGCCAGTGAGTAGTTTGTATATTAATGGTTACAAATTCCTTTTCGCTCGTATTGTGAGTGATTCATTGATGAAAATAGACTTTTATGATAAAGTTTAAGTTGAGCATTGAACCCCCCCTCCAAAATTCTCCCCTTTTGCCCATGTTGTATGTGTGCATCGGCACTTAATTTGAGTTCAGTATGATTGATTTTAGAAGATTTTAATTGACACTGAAGATTAACTGCGTTACACATTATTTGTGTTGAGTGTGACCTTTCTGTTGCTCTCTCTCTTGAGCATCCTGAAGTCCCATCAGATTTTGGTGGGCATAGCCTTTCACCCTCTGGGAGGGCTGTAGATAATTAAAAACCCTTATCTATGTGCTCAGTTTGTAAACATAACTCCTTTTCTTCTTAGCATCCTTCTGTCACCCTTTCCTTCAGAATTACATCAAGGATGAATCCCTCCATCTGTCCATAGTGGGATAAGGAGCGCAGGCTGTGCTAAGGCAAGTTGTACAGGAGGATGCGTGTCTAAGCGTCTGTGTGTGCGCGCGCAATTTTGCTTGTGCGGTTGTCATAGAGTATGAGATTTTGTGACATGCTGTAATCAAAGTTGAATTGCACTGTTCTGAGATAATGCTCTTAGATCAGGGAGGATAAATTCACAACTGTTCGGTTGCCTTTGGCCCCCCCACCCTCTCCCACACACATCTGATGAAATTCAAGGTCAAGTGTTGGCAAAGCCTGGAAAGGCTACAGTCAAACGTCCGGGTCTTTAAATGATTTTAGTTGCTTATTCTCCATTGTTTTTTGTTTTCCTGGCCATTGTCAATTAATGCGGCAAACTGGTCTATGAGATTTTCACTTGACTTCATTTGACACTCAGATGGCCTTGAGTTTAGCTCAAAATCCAAAAAGTAGCATGGAAATATGGAAATAGTGAATCTACCACTGCCAGCACCAACCCACCCAACTTGAAGCCGGGATTTACACAGCCTGGTGTCAACTCAGTTGCCATACTAATGCCCAGTATGGAGCGTATGGTCCTTGGCAATTGGTGCACATTTTAACCAGAAGGCCATGAATGAAACAACCTGGACATGCTTGTTTAGCAGATCCAATCTGAGATGTGACTCTCAGATTTGCAAATACAATTTCACTGATGATTGTACATGCATTTTAATATTATAATATATTATACATATAACATCTGATTATTTGGGCTGGTTTTCTGGAAGCATGAAAGAAAATGCATAAAGTGACACTTCCAATGTTGCAGTTGTATCCTAGAAAGACAAAGAATTGGAAAGAGTAGCATAAATATCCAATTATTTATCAAGTGAACCACACACTCCCAGCTTAAACCCTAAAATGTGCAGTTTCCTCTCATTCCCAGAGATGCTGCTTGTGTGTGGTATTAAACATGAATTCATTAGCACTCTTTGATGTGGCTACTCAGCATGTGGTCTCCAGTCCATGTATATGTTTGTGTGTGTTGCAAGCAAGCTTTCCAATTGAATAACTTTTCTTTTGGCAATGTGCTAGAGTGTTGGAGTATCTCTGGGCTTGAGGTCAAGTCATGTTCCCTGTTCAAGACTGGGAATGCTGGGAATGCTGTTTTATATCCAACTGGCAGTCTCCTAAAGCAACCTATGGGAAGATGCTAGAATTATAAACCCCTGTTTTTGGACGACCTTGCAGATTAGCTGATCCTAAAGCCCCAGTGCCTTTTAAAATATTTTACCACCATGGATTGGCATGGGTACTTGCTCTTAACATCCATGCACAGAAAAGCCTCTAGCAAACCAAGCTGCATTTTACAATAGTTTGATATCTGTATATTAAAGGGGCTATGTGTTGGTTTTTCCTTAAAAAAAATCTTTAAGAGTTTTCATTTGTACATTTATGAGCCAATCATAATGTAATAGAAAGAATGACACTCTGACTGTCCACCATAGTTGCCTCTATTAGCCTGTAGGCTCAATTGTGTCTAGAGGAGTCGGGTCCGAATTGGCGCATCATGCGTGTTCCGTCTACTTGGGCTTACATCTGTACGGCAGCCATTAGTAAGCAGCAGCAATTCCTAGCAGTAGTGTTTCAAATGGACTGTGCGGACGGAAAGATTCGACCAGCCTCCAAAACGATCCAGACACCCATGGAAACTCCTTGTAAGTTAAGTAAAAAAAAAAAAAGCCTTATCTAGAGACAACGTCGGGCAAAGACAAGAATCAACATCAGAGCGGCATTTGCTTCTTGGAGGGAGCTCCGGTCAGCACTGGGTATAAAAACAGACCCCGTGCTGTCAAACAATAACCTTACAGTACTGTAACTTTTCTTACCTCTGTAAACATGCTGGTGAATCTCGATGAGCCGTCTGTGGTTGCTGCAGCAACTCTCTGGCTACTGTGGTCGTGCTCATACGAGCGTGCGCACCGAGAACAAGCATGAGACTGGCTTTTACTAACGGCGACTGGTGTTAGAAATTTTAGAACTTGCGCAATGCTTCTTTAATATTTCAGACTGTTGTTGGAGCCATAGCCTAATGGTTAGTAAATATGCTACAGGTCCATTGAGCCGATACGGGAGATGCGGTTTTACGTCCTTATCCCTGGTCCCTAATTTCCTTCTTAGTTTCCTATTGTCTCTCTGATTTGTGTTTAATGACAGGGCTTTAGCATGTGATTGCTTTATGGGAAGGATGTTCGTTTTGTCTTTTGGCTGCTATTTGAGCCCACAGACTAGCCGAGGGGTCATAATGTGTTTTGATTCAGCTTTGCAAGACCACCATTTCCTCATGCATGTTTTTACCTCAGCTCACATCTCCGTTCTCTCCCACTTTAAATGTAATCGCTAGTAAATGATACCTGCTGTAGTGTTTTGAAGTGGTTATTTGCTATACTTTTCTATAAGAAAACATTATCCCCCACTGCTCAGATTACACGCACTACTATTTTTCCAACCATTCCCTTCCATACACACCGCTGCAGTAGGACCATTCTCGCGCAGAATGGAAAGTGTACCGAACCCTTTATTACTCTCCTATGCCTCTGAGTGGGCTAACGCTCCCTCCCTTAGTGAGTCTCTGCTTTCTGTTTCAATGTCTAATCATTACTGTGGAGTCCATACCCTTCACTCTGTATAACGTCTTAATGCCCACTACAACAGCTAGGCAGTGATTTTCACATCTGCTGTGAACCTCGGCAGTTAAGTGTCAGCCTAGCATACCACTGCTAGTTTGCTCTGCAGCTAGACTCTGCTGTCCATTTATTTTCAAACTTATACAATTTGTGCAGCTCAACACTACAGACCAGTGTCAAAATGAACCTATTTTGCTCAAGGATGAGGAGCAAACTGTTCTTCCTCCATCTTTTATGTAGATATTAGCATTTCCTTCTAATTGGCCCTGTGGTCCACCACTACTCAAAGATTGCAGGCATGACTGTGAGCTCTGCCACTCCTTCAGCAGTGTCAGCAGGTGAACTGCTATCTGGAAAGATGGGAGAAAATCAGCCAAGCATGCAAATCGCATACCAAGGGAAAAATCAATTAGAGGGCCAGAGGTCCAGCTGTGAGGTGGGGCACTGGCAGAGAAATTGTGCCCATCCTGGCTGTTAACTCCTGGGGCAAATGCATTATCCCATTGAGAATGGCATCCATTCATGCCAACCGTGCATGCTTCAAGAGTGCCTTTTTCCACCTTGCTTTTTCTTTCTAATTACTCATGCATTTTTTTTTCCAAATGGCTGGAAAACTGTTATGAGGCTTTAATAATTTGTCTTCTGGGACCGTTCCTCTCATAATCTGATAGAATGAATGTATTGTGGAATCTTAACAATATTTTTTTATACAATATCTTCTGCTAACACTCTTTTGTTCTTTCTTTCTGTGCAGGTACAGAATGTCCTCAACTTCACGAGAAGCCTGAATACTGATACAGAGTACGGGTAGCGAGTAGTGGACAGAGACATTCTTCCCGTAAGGTATCAGGACAATGGCTTCCCACACCAGGAGATGGAATTTTTTCACTTTTTCTTGCTGCATTATTCTCCTTTTGGTTCCCCTTGTGGCTACGAGACCACAACAGCCTTCAGCAGCAACCAGAGTACGTGAGGAATACAGTACCTTCCGGGCAGAGCACCCTGAATGGACATTTAATCACCTTGCAGTGGACCACAGAAATGGGAATGTGTACCTGGGGGCAGTGAATCGCATCTACAAACTCTCACCTGGGCTGGACGTACAGGTGTCACATCAGACTGGTCCAGATGAGGATAACCGGAACTGCTATCCACCCCGTATAGTGCAGCCTTGTAGCGAACCACTCACATTGACCAATAATGTCAATAAGATGCTGCTCATGGACTACCGCGAGAACCGGCTGCTGGCCTGTGGCAGTCTGTACCAGGGTATTTGCAAACTCCTTCGTCTGGATGATCTCTTTAAGCTTGGAGAGCCCTTCCATAAAAAAGAACACTACCTCTCTGGCGTCAATGAGAGTGGCTCCGTGTTTGGGGTCATCGTGTCTTACAGTGATGCCACTACTGATAAGCTTTTTGTGGCCACAGCTGTCGACGGAAGACCGGAGTACTTCCCGACAATATCCAGTCGTAAGCTCACCCGTAACTCTGAGGAGGATGGGATGTTCGCCTACGTCTTCCATGATGAATTTGTTGCCTCCATGATTAAAATCCCATCGGATACATTCACAGTGGTGCCAGACTTCGACATCTATTATGTCTATGGGTTTAGCAGTGGAAATTTTGTGTATTTTCTGACATTGCAGCCCGAAATGGGGGGAGGCCCGACAACCGGGTCATCCTCAGCCGGACGTGAACAGGTGTACACTTCCAAACTGGTGCGACTCTGCAAGGACGACACCGCGTTCAACTCGTACGTCGAGGTTCCTCTTGGTTGTGTTAAGGGTGGGGTTGAGTATCGCCTGCTGCAGGCGGGCTACCTGTCCAAGGCAGGTACCATCCTGGCGCGTTCGCTAGGCATAGGACCTGATGATGACATCCTTTATGCTGTGTTCTCCAAAGGACAAAAAAGGAGGCCCAAGGAATCATCCCAGGAGTCGGCTCTCTGTGTGTTCACTCTGAAAGAAATTAATGAAAGAATTAAGGACCGGCTACAGTCATGTTATAAAGGAGAGGGAACCCTGGACCTCGCCTGGCTCAAAGTGAAAGACATCTCGTGCAGTAGTGCGGTAAGTACATTCAGCACTCCCCTGCTTACCTTCCATTTGCAGAACAATAGTAATTGTGACAGTGACTATAGTAACATGGTTATGACTCACAATGGTTGATGTGAAAACTTTTAATTTTAGGGCTAGTCATCAAATTGTATACAAAAGGAAGGTTTAGAAACAAAACCATTCAAGTTTTTACCAGAACTTAGGGCTAATTTTGGTCAGATAAAGGCACACATATGAGGTAGTGCCCAATAGCAATAAAATAACTCTTTTGATCAATGACTTCTGGCTGTGCTTATAACAAGCATTTCACCATTTAAAACCATTTCACTTTCCTACACAGTCTAGGAAAGGACCCCAAATCTTATAGTTGGGGTCAGAAGTTGTCAGAAGATCCATAGAGAATGAGTAGGAGGTGTAGGCGATTTCATGTTAAGTGAAAGAGAGAGAGTACCAAATAAAGTTGTAACAGGCAAAGGTTTAACATAAATTCCAAGAACTTCAGATAATGATTTAAAGATCAGAGACCAATATTTGTGTAGAGATGGACAAGACCAAAAAATAAGTGCAGTAGATGCAGGGGCTTGAAGATAGCGATCACACTTTGGATCTACCTCAGAATATGTTTTAGAAAGTCTAACTTTGGTCCAGTGGGTACGATGGAGGATTTTACACTGCATCAGAACCTTTTTATAAAGCAACATTTTTAATAGTTCCCTGGAAAGTGACTGTTTTGAAAGCAAAAAACTTATATTTTAAACTGTGGGTGCTTGGGCTAAATTAATTGGAACATTTGTCATTACATTTTCAGTCTTTATTTTAAACCAATTTTGTTTTACATGTATTTTACACCAATGGTATTTTACATTTGTTTTACTCAGAGATTTTAAAAACCAACGATCACTGATCACTAAATATGTATAAATACAGTTTTAACAAATGCAGGGGACATACTTTGGCATTGTTTACTTTGTATTTCTCTTGATTTAATTCTCAGAGCATTGACAACATAATTGCTACCATTTTGGTTACCAACTTCAGTTCAAGGAAAAAAAAAAAAAATAAAGATTTTGACCTAGCAGTTTTCCCCTTTGATTCGATAAAATAAGATTCAATTCTTAAAATGTCTTCTTGGCTAGGATGCTCGGTGTGGATTCTGTTTTTCTAGACATTTTGATAAAAGGCAACCAAGCTGTATAAATGTGAAACTTCCATACTTGAAGAATCAAAGTATATAATAACACCGTATTTAATTCCAGCCATGGAATAGTCATCCACCCAATAAATTCTTGCTCCTTTCAGAAACCTCAGTGCCAGGTCAAATGCTACATAAATAGAATGAGCTGTTAAGGATTGTACAAGAAAGGTTCCTTGTAAATAACATGCAATTATTTTGAAGAATTTTGTAGTAGAATGTAAATACCATATGAAGACCATTGTACATATACAAGACCATCATATTACCATCACTGTTCCATGGTACTGCCACTGTACCTTTTTTAAGATGGTGAATGAGGTAACATGACGGTTTCAGCTTGAAGGGTGTGATTTTTGGCTATTTTTTCTTGATGTAGAGAGGATATGTGTGTGTGGACTGATGTGGAAGTGAAACTGACACTCTCACACACTTACAGGCACTCGCACACAAGAATAAATGTGAAGCAGACTGTGAGAGAATGCTTTTGTGATAAGTGTATGGCTAGGGATGGAGGAAGAGAGGGAGTTATGTTGAGGAATGGTGCCATTTCTGCGTGCTCTGCAGTATGGCCACTGCAGCATAAATTAAAGAGAGAGCGTCACAGTGAGGATAGAGAGATGGATTGCCTGTGTCTCCTCCTTTGGTAACTATGGCTACTGCCTCCTCATTTAAAAGCCAGACAATTGTTTGATTGGGGAAGAGAAAAAGACAAGTGAGCTCAAACACATTATATCTAAGACTGATAAATGCTCTGTTACTGTTTAAATTATTTTCTCAGAGAGCTGCTAGTTCTCACAAACAAATATAAACAGAAAAATACAAAGTCATGCATGCATAGGCTTATAAAAGACAATATGAAATTAATTATTATATGAAATTATTTACTTTAATAAAATAAAATGCTTGTGGTCTTAAGCATTATTTACAGCATGTTATTCTGAAGAACAAAGTATTTCATCTCTATATAAAAAAACTGATTCAAGCCAATATTGTATGTTTAACTATACAAGCTCATTTTCTATTTTTTTTTTCAATTTATCTTTAAAAATTGTTTAATGTAACCATTAAGTAGTCTTTATGCACCGCTAACTTAATGCATTGTGAATGCTGTCTTTCACAGTAAGCAGACTAGGTATAAAGCAGCGCCCAAACACCCACAGGCAGAAGGAACATGAACATGATTGCGCTGACTCACCTATGAATAAAAGCACACGCTCATAGAGGGATACATTCAGACACTCATGTGTTTCAACACTTACAAACACACTTATTCGAAAGCATCCAAGGGCAAAAAAGAATGACATGTCTTTCAGGCAATTCTGTAACTGAAGTTAAACGCTCTTGGGCTGTGGTATTCCTGAATCTGCTCAATGGGACCACATTGACAAGATAAAAAGTGGGAAATGACAGGAGTGATAAAACGGTGCATGAACCTGATATCTGAGTGGGGGAGATGATTTTACAAGAATCACTGTTGTTAGTCTCAGATGGGTTTGTGTTTTCAATAATGCATGGAAAAACTCAACACTGCCATGTTAGAATATTGCAATAAGGAATAAGAAATGTAAAAAAAGGGCAGCTTTTTGACTCCCTGATATGAAAGTCTAATTAAGTAAGCAGAGAAGCGCAGTGAGATCAAGCAAGCCTTTCTTCATGAATGTGAAGATAACATTCTCTCAATATTCAGCCCTCTGCAAACATTACATCAACATGACGTGATAGTAATGCAGGTTCGGTGAAGATATGAAAGTGATGTATATCTTAATATCCTCTCTGTGCCCTCTGCAAACGATAAGGATATTATGCTGTGAAAAATCATAGCATAATGTAAGCCTGGCTCATAAGCTTGGCTCATATCTCTAGTTCTGTCCAAAAATCAGGTACTAGCAGTTATCGTCATGTATACTGTGCAGGAAGATGACATGGATGAATAGCTTTTTTATTATTTTAGATGCATATCAAAAATAATATAGAAAAATATATGAACTATGATCTAATCTGTTTGAGACCTTACAATGAGAATAGTTGGTCATAAACTATTTTACAGCTTTAGTAGTTTGTCTTTTATCATTTAAAAAAAAAAGTCTTTGACACAACGCATATCATTATTTTTCCAGTGTCTTGCACCATGTGCCACATTTAAGATGGCGTGTCAAGTTCAATTTAGCGAGTTCAACCAGGCTTCCTGAGACACCTGCTTTCTGTCTGTTTTATACATAAGGATTCGTCATGTGTGAATTTTTGTATTTACAATGATGGCTTATGCCACAACGTTTCACTGTATAAATAACTGTAGTAAGCATGGTTCATTTTGTATGTGTCAAGTGCAAGCAGAAATGTATGTGGAGAGGCAGCAGCAGAATTCTGCACTTTGCTGACTCTTTCAAGCTCTCTGTTAGCCTCCCCATGGTGTTTTTTTTTCCCCAAATTAATGAACAGATGAGCAGACCCACTGCTCATTAGGGCAGTCAGACTTTATGAAGGGGCACTGTTAATGTCAAACATGATGTGCGCGCACACACACACACACACATTTACAAAAGAAAGGGTGTGCATTTCACTATGTGAGACAGAATAACCATCTTCATCAGTTCATTAAACCAGACGTAGACTAAATATTTCTAGATGACGATAATGAAGTCATCTCTCACACACGTACACATAGCCGTGGCACGTCACACACAATGGTCATGCTGTCACCCTCATTAAGAAGAGATTGTGTCTCTTTGAAATATGCACCACTATGTATGTGACATGAACTCTTAATTACGTACTGCCTAGATGCAATGGTGCCCTCTTTCTGTGACTTAAATGTATGTATTACCCCCCCCCCCCATTATTTTAATTATTTGTATTAATTTATTTATGTACTGTTTGTTTGTTTGTTTTATATATATATATATATATATTAGGGCTGTCAGTTATACTCGTTATTAATGGAGTTAACGCCAACCCATTTTTAACGGCGTCAATTTTTTTATCATGCGATTAATGGTCTTATTGGCCTAACAAACTTTGTAGTTTTCTTTCACATGCTTTTGCAACAGGACGTGACATGCGTGCGCTGCGCTATGAAACCCATTCATTTCAATGGCTTGCGCCATGCGAGGACGTTTTGTTGCTTCGTCGACCAAAGCGCAAGCGGATCTAGCTAGACCATAAACAAAACAACATACACGCCGCACACACACGTTTGGGCTTGCGAGCCGGCCAAATTGTTGGTTAACGTTACATTTTAAGCAGATGACGAGCGCGAGATGCCGAATTGGATGCCCTAAGATTCTGAATGGAAAGTTTACTTTTAAAAAGTTGCCAAATTGTCCCATTGACAAGACCAAAGTGATCTGTCTGTTTTGTCGTTGTGAGCTATCATCATCGCAGCACGTCCAGTTTGAAATACCACTTGATGGACATGCACGCACACACACACACACAGCTAATGCGAATTCTCCGCCCCCTCGTCAATATCAGGACCTCATCAGTATTTCTTTCACCCTTTTATTGATGGACAGTGTTACATTGTGTGAGAGATTATTTGCTCCAAGTGAGAATTCTAGTGTGAATTTGAACACAGTATATGCCAATGTTGTTTTCAATAAAAAACATTTGCACAAAGCAAGCCGATCCACTTTTCCATGTTCATAAGAGAATAAAAATGAGAAAAAATAACGGGACAAAAAGAAATCAAGAGACATTTAGAATAGATAAAAATGTGCGATTAATCGCGAGTTAACTATGACATTAATGCGATTAATCATGATTCAATATTTTAATCGTTTGACAGCACTAATATATATATATATATATATATATATAT